AATTATTGTAAGTCAATGAACTAGTTTAGGGGTTTATATACTATAAACACAAACAGGAGTGTTTTTACTGTTTTATGAGATATAACACGAGGCGATAGCCAAGTGTCTTATATCTGATAAGCATGGACTGCGAGTGTTTCAAATAGCTTAAAAACGACCCATCTTATGAGTTGGTTGGTGAAGTAATTTTAAAAATCAACGTTGTCTAGGCCGAGAAAATCAAAGCTTAAGTTTATCAAAGCTTAAGTGAATAATGAATTTTTAATCCGTTTGAAAATTTTTTAATCTCTATGCATGACTATTGCTTTATCATCTATCAATTTTAAACTGTTTTGCTCTGGTAATGGTACGCAGTAACTAACTTACCTATTATTACCACTTGTCATCAGAGAAAGTTGAACATGAAAATTGGTTGCCCGGAATAAAATTCACTTGCCATCTAGTCCAGATTTTCCCGTACATATCACCGCTTTCATAATCTTCTTAAGTAAGCGGCTGTGACCAGGGGCGTAGGAAGCATCAAAAGATTGGGGGGCACCGGCTTCCAGGGGCACTTTGGGATATTGAAAAAGGCACCTAAAAAAATTTCCCGGAAATGTTGGCGACAGGAGGGCCGGGGGGGAGAAATTTTCCCGTCAAACCATACCGAAATTGCACGTTTTTGACCAAATTGTTTTTAAAAACTTGGAAATTTCCAATCAAAAAGGGTACCTTTGATGTTAATTTAGTATTTACAGCGACATTAGCTTGTACAAAAAGGGTACTTTTCATCACAAAACAGGGCACTTTTAGTCCTTTGAAAAAATGGGGGGGGGCACGTGCTCCTCCGGTTCCTACGCCCCTGGCTGTAACGAGAAAGTAGGTGGCTTCCCTCAATGCAGGAATATTTTAAATTAAATAAATCCGCAATGAAACTACTGCATTGCATTTTTACGTAGCCAAATACTGCAAAACTGTGGCTATGCCGAAATCCAGAGTACTGTATAGCCATGCACGGTTTTATGCCGAAAATATGCGTGCTTTATATATAGCCACAAACCATGGCTATTAGGTATGCCACAAACCGTGGCTATAAGTTATGCCGAAAACAGGCGTACATTATAGCCACAAAGAGGCACGGCAAATATTCATTTCAACAATTTTCTTTCAAATATTCATATTCCTACCATAAATATTCGTATTCCTACCGTAATTTGTAAATATTCATATTCATATTCAGACTAGTTTGAAACACACTATTCAATATTCTGCTTCCACTCCTGACGACCATGTGAATGTTTTATAGTTATGGGACGTAAGAGGGAAGAAACAGATCTACACGTATCTTGGTCATGAACAAACTGTATCCACCTGCTGTTTTTTCCCAAGAATAACCGATATCACTTCTTGGCCACTGTGAGTAATATTGAAAGATGCGAGGGCTGGGTCTCTGGATTAAAATGTTTGGTAAATCTAATGTCTTGTCTTCTTAGAATCATGAGCGCTTCTCACGACTCTACTGTAAAAATCTGGAATCAAGAAAATCAAAGTAAGTTTGAACCGTGCTAAACCTCAAGCCTCGTTCTCAACGTAAGGCATAAACGTACGGGGTGGCAGGTGGCCTGCAGTCCCCCCCCCCCCGAAAAATTGCAGTTAGGTAAATTATAAAGGAAGTTTGGCAAAAAGATGGGGGGGAATAAATTTAAAGGCAAGAAATGTGTAAGGTTTCCAAAATTATTAATCCCTTCCAAAATGTTCCGAAATTTCAGAGAAAGGCAAGAAATTTTGAGTTCCCTCAAACAATTGTGCATCGATCTTAATAGGGCAATAGTTTATAAATGTATAGAATGTTGTATGGCGAATGCATTTTTAACCAATCTGAGACTCCTGATTTTCAAACTTCTGGACGGAGGTGCCCCCAGATCCCCCTATAGTAGTGTCCCCTAGTGATGCCCTTTTTGGTATTTGTAAATTTACCTTAGGGTCTAACCCCTGATGCATGTTATCTAAATTAGTTTTATGTTATATTCCTAAAAATATCAAGATTCTCAGTTCACTGAAATCATTTTTGACAACTTGTTGGAATATCACAACATGCAGTTACAGTGTCCGAGTGTTGATTTTCTTGATTATATGCAGAAAATTTTCAATGTTTTCTTGCGGTCCCAGATAGTAAAGTATTATTTCCACCGGCCCTGCCTCTTCCACACCCAATCCTGACCTAAAAATAGTCTCTAGTTTCGGTCTAGCTGGCGAGACAACTACAGACTACAGATCGATCAGAATCTTTTTTCAAACCTTATCCATTTCAACTGCGACAACATTATGACTTGAATTGTGTCGCTCTTCGTCCTCCACAAGTTATGCGTTATGGTTCTTATAAAAACCTATAATTTTCTAACTTGCATCTACAATGAAATTGGTACTTTTGTAGAATGTCTTGCCACAGAAAGTTTCTTTGGTTCAGGACCTCTAACTGATATTGCTGTATGGGAGAACGGAAGGTACGTTAATTAAAGTCTTTGCAAGAGTGATTGCTCACCGTATCGCACTAAATGTTTCAAGTGGGTCCAAGGCTTTCAGAATTATTCGCAGTAGGTGGCTGTGTTGATAAGTAGGCGGCTGTGGAGAGCGGTCTACGGAGTCTTAAGGTCCAGACACGCCGGAAGCGATTTTTCGATTTTCACTGACCGATAACTTTGATTCTAGTTTAAATTTTCCAAATATTTAGAAGCGCTATAACATTTTGAGCTATTTGGTCTACATATATCTTTCAAAATTTGCTCTCATTGGCTGTTTTATTAACTTTCAAAAACTAAAAAATCGCGTCGCGTTTTCGAATCGCGTCCGGTGTGTCTGAACCTTTAAAGTCATCCAAATTAACTATACACATAAGTCTACAGTATATATTGATTAGATAGCAATTAGCAACACAACTGAGCTTTGTAACCTAATTATAATGTATCACTACTTTCATTCTTCAACAAGATATCTGCAAGATTTTAGATCTAGCAATGAGTTTTACGAAATATTAGAACTTTTTAAAAAATCTGTTCTGCTTCCAGATTCTGTGTTTCAAGTTTCAACAGCGGAGTCTACCAGCTAAGTCTGACCAGTGATGGTGAGGGTGGTGTCGAGATAGCATGTCAGGCACATTTCTAATTCAAACGTTTCATTACGAATCACAATATATGAACAATTATGTGGCAACAATAATTCTAATCTTTCATATAGCAAAGAGTTTAATCCTTTCTAAGCTGTCATAACAAAGCCATGGTCATCGACGTGAAATAGCTTATTTTGTGCTCTGTAGTACAAATCAATAGATAAATTTGGCTAACGTTTATTTATACGTCATTCACAACTTTACGTAACTCACATGCCTAATTATCATTGTTCTAGTGTACAGAAGCATTGAATATAGAACAAAAGTAACTATAAACTTTAGAAATATCCGACATGAGTGAATAACTCTATAATGCTTAGTTACTTTTGTTCTACTGTACGCTTCTGTAAACTACGACCAGTTTCAAATGTCTTGGGACAGATGCCACAAAAAAACTTTAATTTCAACAAATGTCAATCCCGCCCCCTGTTCAATGTCGTTTGCCATTTGTCGTCAGATTTCATTGTTGCAGATACAGATATTTCACAGCACACTCCCTATCAGGGCTTTTCAGTGACTGGTTACATTGTGAATAGATAGACAGAACCGGACTGACGTGAAGCAGACCGAGGTAGACTTTGAGCTTACAAATGGCGCTTGAGCAGCCGCTATTAGTCCATACCACTGGTCCATACCTCATTAATGATCTGCCTCCTGACCTATGTGCCCAACCCACCCTGTCAACTTTCCCTGTGGGAGGAAACACGGAGTACCCGGAGAAAACCCACGACTTTCGGCAGAGCGTTGACTTTTAATCTTTTCACATGAGGACTGGGTTCGAGTCACATTGAGAAGTTCTCATTGAGGCTTGAACCAGCTACCTTAGAGGTGAAAGGCAAGTGGTCTAACCACTTCGCCACCTTTTGGTATTTAAATAGAGAAGGCAACATTGATGGGGGGAGGGGAGCGGTATTGTGTGTACCAAACTGTAATATGCACTTACACTCTAAAACTACATGTGTCCCGCAACAACTTTTGAAAGTGATTGTAGAACAATAGTAATTATGATTTTTCTGTGTTGATGTAATGTACTCAGGTGAATATGATGCTTGTGATGTTACTCTGAGTGTATATCCACACCGGGCAAGCTTGAAAAATATGCCTGTCCACGGTGGGAATCGAACCTACGACTTTTGGGATACTAGCCCAATGCTCTGCCAACTGAGCTACGCGGTCTAGTCGGTTCGAGTATGTGATATATCGGAACAGAATCTAGTTACTTCGATATCAATGTTATCTAATAATAATCATGATTTTAATCAGTCGGTAATTAGGCATGTCAGTTATCTGAAGTTGTGAATACACCCTTTCCATAATTACGTCACAGCTACACTGTTTTCAACTTAGGACTTCACTTTAAATGGAAAGTATTTCAAGTTTTTTTCTCATGGGCTATGCACAGAGAAGCAGAACATCCTTCTTCAACACATGCATGAAAATGAATTCTTTATTTTGACCAATAAACCTCGTTTTCGTGTTAATGCTTATTTCCATACTTATTGATCAAAATCCAGGGTTTTTTCGCGCATGTGTTGAAGAAGGTGTTCTGCTTCTCTGTGCATAGCCCATGAGAAAAAACAACTTGAAATGCTTTCCATTTAAGGTGGTCCTAAGTTGAAAACAGTGTAGTTGTGACGTAATTATTGAAGGGGTGTATTGGGTAGCGACAATGTAAACAACGTTAGCCAAATAGCCATATTTCTGTTGATTGCAGAAGTAATATTTGTAAAATACGCAGAGTTAAGTCATTTAACTTAATTAAAATTTGCTAAATTATATAATAAATAATATATTACAATACATCACTGACGCTTGTTCTCTAATATCGTATCCTACATGAAGTATTGCAGAACCAATCGAAAAACAAAATGGCGGACGAAAATGACAAAGTTTTAACAAACGGGAGTGGGACAAATCATTCGACAGAAGATGAGGAATTAGAAGGTATTAAAGCTTTGGATGATTTTTTGTGAATTCATGACTTCGCAACTCTTTTTGTGTGTTGACATTGAAATATTTTCTACATTTATAAATAGCAATATGTCGTAGTTTAAATTCTGGTATAATCTGGTTGTTTTCTGATAGAATTTCAAGCGTTGGACAACGAGTTAGACCAGTTGGATTCGTGTCTAAGTGTTCTCGAAGGGCGGAATGAAAATCTACATTCAGAATGTGTTAAAGTTTTAGAACGGATGAAAGAATTGCGACAACAAAATACAAATGGAGAGAGAACATAAATATTTGTAGTCTAGAACCAAGTTCCAATTAGACTGAATAGGACGTCTTCGCATTTTAAACGTACATCCTCGCAGGAGCGCATTGCTTATTGAAAAACATTCACCACCAAGGATGGAAACAAACATTCAAAATGAGAATATATTTAAATAAATAGATTAATAAGTTATTAATTATGAAATAAAACTAAATTAACTAATGAAACAATTCAAACAATGTAATATTCTAGCCTGTGATATTAGAAAATAAACATAAGTGTCTGGTTTTATATATGTGCATTTTGCTTTGCAATTAGCAAACAAGTAAACAATCACAGCACAAGTGCATGGGTACACTGATTTATCTTTGCCTTGAGCAATCCAATCAAAAGGCAAAGCAAGACTCGCCTAATGGCAGTGTCGCGTAGCATTGCCATAGCTTGACTAAAATTATCAGTTTTGAAAAGTGAAACATATTAGTTCTGAAAGTGTTTTGGGCATGTATACAGTGTCGTCGCAGTTTTAAGCGTGCATACGTGATTTTCAAAGCAGAGTAAGGTTCGACTTGACCGTTCAGCACGTGTGTAATTGTTCTTTTAAATTTTAATCAGTCAATAAATCATTTTATAAACACACACAGAAAACGAACAAACATGAGAACAATGAAGCGAATGTATTTTTTATTTCTTCGAAAGTAAGTTTAAACAGCGACAGCAAAAGTCTCAGAATTATTTACATCTTGGTTAATTTAAAAATGTCACAAGCATTTTGGTAATTCAGAGTGGAACATTCTGATCCCTTGATTGTGGATAGGTGGAAATATTGTTATTCTAAAGCCCCGTCCACTTGTAAAGGAAAAATTGCCCGTCTTCATACGCAGGCCCGTAGCTGAGGGGGCCTATGCCCCCCCCCCCCCTTATTCCACATTTTTTGCCATGATATACAGCAGTACTACAGCGACCGTAGAAGATTAATACTTGAGGCTCATAGTCATACTCAATTTTCGTATGAAAATAGATTGCTTGTGGCCTAAAATAAATAACCTCATAGGCGTAGAGTATGGGGGGGGGGCTTTGCAGCTCGAGCCCCTCCAGAAACCTTACAACGGGGGCTTAGCCCCTGCAGACGTGTTGCAGAACTAATAGCTGTTAATGTTGTTATTTTTTTGGGTGAGTTAAGTACCGAAATTTGGTATGAAAAATTGAGATAAAGTACCTGGAAAACAATTGAAACGTACTCGTCCGGAAATTTTTTTTACCTAAAAAGTTGTCGAGGGGGGGGGGGGTTGAGTCAGAATTATCCCAACCCCCTCTATTATATTCTTTCTGCAGTGTCCGCCCAGAAATTGAGAGCCAGCTACGGGCTTGAGTAGGTCTCTAGCAGACTCATCCCCAGTCGCTTTAAGAGCGGGCGCGCGGCCAGAAGTGGGCGCGTAGAGGCTCAAGGCATTTTTCAAAATAAAACTCAGCTGTTCATTGGCTGTAGCCGGTTTCGTCGTAAGCAACGAAAACGCGAAACCGGCTACAGCCAATGAACAGCTGAGTTTTATTTTGAAAAATTTGTCCAGTAGCAGGATGCGAGCATCCCGCATAGTCACAGGCAAAAATATCGACAAAACACCGTAAACTTTCGTAAATTTATCAACATTTA